AGTGTAGGCCAATAAAATCTAGGTTACAAAATTTTAAATATAGTTTTATCAACCCCAAAATGTCGTCTGAAATCAGATTTATGATATTTTTTTATAATTTATTGGGTTTCTTCAATGGTGCATATCTTCAAATAATTAAGTCCTTATATTGTTTATATAAATAAGGGTCATGCTAAAAATAATATTTAGAATCATAAATAATCTTTTTAGTTTGATGACTATCAATTCCGATTTGGTTCAATAGTACTAGGAAAAGTTCCTAATGTTCGGTTACTAAGCGCGGTAGCGATATGTCTCAATTGGTTTTCAATTTTTGTAATTTTAGCTCCTTGACTTTGTAATTGATTTCTTTAACTGATTTCTCATCTGTAACACCACTTCTTCTGTAGCCAACTTTTTCTCCTTGAATTGTAGATTACTGTAAAAACCTGGAGGATACGTAGGTCTATAATTACTATTACCTTGGTTGTTCTAGTTTCCCAATGGGTTTACTTGGTTGTTCCCCCGTTGCTGATTATTACCACTAGAAGTATTATTTGAGTTAAGGTTCTGATGGTTCTTCTAATCTGGGTTATAATAGTTTGAATATGGGTTATTTGGCTTATTATTTATGACATTCAAAGTTTCTAATGATGTTTGAGAATCTACCATTTGGCCTAATGAATTCTTTTCAATCATTGAAATTGGTTGAGTAAAATTTATTCCAAAATGGTCTAACTTCCTTTAAATTGTAGCAACTTAATTTGCTAACATTGCGAAAGCATTAGATTCATGAATATTAGCTACTTTCTTGGGATTTATTCTCTCAGAAGGCCATTAAAAATTATTAGTAGTCATCTCTTCAATTAAAACATAAGCGTCGTGAAATGATTTTTACATCAATGAACCACCAACAACGGCATCGATAATAGATCTAAGAGATTCAGCTAATCTATTGTAAAAAGTTAGAATTATTAAACAATCTAGTATAGCATGGTGTGGACACTTTCTTAGTAGCTCTTTAAATAGTTCTCATGCTTCATAAATAGATTCCCTTTCAAACTTCCAAAAAAATGTAATATCATTTCTAAACTTCATAGTTTTTTATGCTGGAAAATATTTAGCAAGAAATTTTTGAGCTAAATCACCCCAAGTTCTAATAGATCTAGGTGCTAACGAATGTAACCATATCTTAACCTTATCCCTCAGTGAGAAAGGAAAATTCCAAGTCTTATAGCATCATCTGATACACCATCATATTTAAATGTAGCACATAATTCTAGAAAATTGGCAAGATGTAAATTTGGATCTTCAGTTAGTGCTCCCCCAAACTGATTATTGGATACCATTTAGATAATAACAGGTTTAAGTTCAAATGAATTAGCCACTACAACAGGTTTTTTAATACTACAATGAAGTTCATCCACTGCAATGTTTGCATAATCTCTTAAATGCCTAGATTCTTGATTAATTTTAACATTTTGATTATTTTGGTTTATCATTTCTTGAATTTTTTGGTCTTTTTCTGTATTTTTTATTTTTTTATTTTTTCTAATATTTCTTTTCAATTCATAATCATAGGGCTCTAGTCCTTTAGAACCTAACCTAAACTACACATACATTACTAAAAAAAATAAAATCACACAAACAAGAACTTTATATAAAAACAACACTACAATATTCCTATAATAAATCTAAAAGTTTAAATAAGACTTTCTAAAAATTGAAATTTTCTTTTTAAAATTTTTTTTTAAAATTTTTACTTTTCCCCGGCAACGATACCAAAAACTTGATCCCAATTTTATATGACAGTACGTTGTATTCAATTATATGCTTATTTTTTTTCCTTATGTTTCTTATTTTGCAATGGCAGCCAAAAACTTGACTTGGAAGCAATAAGAATGCAATTATTATATTTAAATATGAGATACTACATAAGTATACATATTGTTATCAAGTAATATAGAAGTTTTTGATTAAGCACCGAATATCAAACCCACTCGGACAAAAAATACAATATGCAACTAAAAATAGAATAAATTAGATAACAAGTTCTACTTTGTAAAATATTCTTACGCAAACTATAGATGCTATAAGCGAATGAAAGTTTGATTCTTTTTTGTAATTTTTTATAATTGAAAGTAAAGTAAACAACTAACTAAACTTAACTAGATATTTTTAAGATGAAGGTAATATAAATAAAATATATTTTTCCTTATCATAATTCAGAAACAAGTATAGGAATTTTGTTGTGGAAGTATTCAAATTGTGTTGTGTCAAATAGAAGCAATAATATTATTTACCCTTACTAGAGATGCTATAAAGAACATTGGCTAATTTAACATTTGAATAGTCTTGAAGATGTGTTAGGTATGGAAGATACTAGCTCTCTCTCTAGAGTTCCCTCTTCTCCCTCCACCTGGGGGCTAATATCTCATATCAAAACCTAAAACTATAAAACAAATTGGGGGCTTTAGTCTGTCACTCTAAATCCTTTAGTTATACACCCTCAAAGTTTATTTCCCTATTTATTTGCACTCAATCATAGGAATTACATTCTCAATCATACAATCTCATGTGATTCTTACTATTAGTTGACTGAGATAATACCGTCTTGAATCTTATACGTTCTCACAACAAATATTAACATGTTAATTGGCCAAATCAAGAAGTAGATGAAGTACAAGGTTTAAAATCATCACAACTTATTTCAACATTAAAGATTAATACTTCACAAAACTTCTATCCAATACTTAATCACTTATCATTTTAAGGAAAAAGATAAAGAAAATTACTCAAAATTCATGGAGAAAACACAACCACACTTAAGTTTGAAAGTAAAAATCATGCAAACAAATAAGAAGTCTAAATTAAAACCAAATGTAGTCGCAAAGATAAAAACTTATCTCAAATCCTCTCCACCAAACTCTTGAAGTTTATTTGAATCTCTTCTCTTTTTTTCTCTTACAAACTCTCTACTCACACACTACAACTTCTCTCTTCTTCTTCTTCTCTCTAACAGTATCCTAATTAATCTAAGAGAGAGAGGCGTCGGCGGTGTCTAGAGGGGGGCGGCGGCTTGGGGGCGGCGGCTTGTGTGTGTGTGTGTGGAAGAGTGGAAGACTCTTCAATCCAATCCAAGTCCTTTTATAAATTTTCAAAAGATTCATTGATGTATCTTCAAAATGTGTCTACATTCAATGAATCTTCCAAGAGTTGCCTCCTTTTAAAAGCTAATTAAATGTATTTTTGTGGCCATTAACTATTTCCCATGTTTTCACCTAGGTTTGCTTCAAACACTTCTTCAAAAATTCATCCAAATTCCTTAAATCATCAAGTAACTACTTTTGGTGCTTAGGCGCGAGGTACTTGATGCTTAGGCGCGGCCTTCTCGATTTTATTGGCGCTTAAGTGTCAGTTCTGGGAGCTTAGGCACCACAGCAAAACACTTTAGCACAATTTTCACCTCTTTGCTCCAAATTTGATCCTTTTTCACTCCTTTTAGCATTTTTTTACCTTTTTACTTGTACCTAAAAGAAAAACACACAAATATCTTCCATTCAAGCTCAATATCTTAAAAATAGGTATAAAAATGCGTCTAAAAACACTATATATTTTAAGTGTATCAATCGTAAATTGGGATGAAACCTGAAACATTTGGTAGGTTTGAGCCCAAAAAAATTATAGTGATTACATTAATAGGGTTTTTGTTCTGTGACTATTGGTTGTCAGTACCCATTATGGGCAATACCAAGTGATATTTCTACCACATCAGGTAGAGTGATAACACTCTCAATAAGGATCCTTGCAATAGAAGGTCTAGATAGGTGGAAGGTGGGTATGTCCAATTTTATAAGTCTATTTAGAGCCGCTTCAATAGAGTAGAGTACTTGGTGATTAAAGTAGTGGAGTGTTAGGCTAAGTAGTTTAAACCAAATTGAAACTATAGGGGGTTCGTGGCTAGGATCAAATTTAGGAGACTACTTGAGCAATTCCATGTATTCTTCATCAATTGTAATGTATTTCTTGAAAAATATTGTGGCATAATCTTCTTCTTTAGTCAATTGTATCATCATATGTCTCCCATCAAAGTGACCAATCTTCCATTCTCCCGAAAGTTTAAAGTCTTCAAAAACCTTTCTAATAATTTCCATTTTAGGATGTCCCATCAGGAACTTCCTAGTGAGAGTAAATTTACACTTTTCAGCCAGGTTAGAGACCTCGACATCAAAGAAAATTAAAGCAAGCTTGCCACTCTTCCTATTAATTTTCACGATGTGGTTACAGACCACCTTGCCTTCAAGTGAATCATGGTAAAGTTGAGGGAAAACTAGATTATCCACAGATCCCATTGATCCAATCCCCATTCCAACTATATCAACATAAGTAGCCTTCCCACGGTTAAAAATTGAAGCAGTCGAGGTTTGAGGACAAAGAGAAGCCATAGAACCTGAAGGAACAGAACCCACAACAGACAAGAAGACCAATCCAAACAGAAACAAGGACATCCAGGACCAAGAAGCAACGACAACAATGACACAAAGCGTTCAAACCAACAAAAACTTCCAGATCCGACAAACACTAAACAAACCTAAAACCAGAAAACTGATCCTCCACAAAACCGGTACATCCGGTGGAGAGGCAAAAGATCTTCACACCACAAAAGCAACCGCGAGCAGAGGAGAAGGAAAAACAAGAAAATCACAAGGAGAATGAACAAGATTACCGGAGCCAAAGCGCTAGACGAAGAGATCACCATCGTCGCCAGAGGAAACCGTCTGCCATTATATATATATATCACACACGCTCATATAAATAAATATAGAATTTACATACATACCACCTAAGCCAACACATGCACAAATATATATCTAGGTATATATACTTATATGTATATATATAGACACACACATGTGTGTGTGTGTGTGTGTGTGTGTGAGAGAGAGAGAGAGAGAGAGAATGCAATTCAATTGAATAGAAGAGAAGATTTAAGGTTTTTCTGGTTGGAAACTGGGTTGCAGGAAGGGAGTTGATAAGCTACGAGAGTCCTCGTCCGGTGATAGGGATTCACCGCATCGTCTTCATGCTCTTTCGCCAGCTTGGCAGAAACACAGTCTTCGAACCCGCGCTCAGGCACAATTTCAGCACACGCAACTTCGCACAAGAATACAATCTCACCACCTTCTCTCTCGCCTATTTCAACTGTCAGCGTGAAGCAGGCTCTGGTGGCCGCAGGTTCCAAAACTAATCAACGTACTAACTATATGCATGCATGCATTCATCATAATATATATATATATATATATATATGTAACGAATAATTCCATTAGGGTTTCTGTCCACAAACCAGCTGCGTTATAGTGTGCTATATATGTGCTGCCAGAACATAAATGGCAATGTATTCTACAGTATTGTGGCTAAAGTTTGAATAGCTGCATAGCAGCTAATGTATTGTGAAATGTTATAGTGTTAATGAATGCATGAGTTTTAGTAGTTAGTTACTTGCTCATAGTAAGTAAATGTACTTACGTTTGCTCTTAACATGCATCTTTTGAATATATAGAAATCAAAGCACGAAATGATTATTCATTTAAGGAATCAAATTGTATTTTTTATTTTTTTTAATATCATTAAAATATGTGATTTTGAAGCATTTTTTTGCTATTATAGTTATATTTTTTAAATAAAATATGGGTATTAATAGTGACTAAAAATTTTAATCATATTATTATAAAAAGAGAAAATGTTTATGTTTAGTAGCAAGTATATTGGCTGCATAAATGGTGTTGACAATGTTGAAGAAGTGACATCTGTCACATATTTATGAAAAGAAAAAGTGGCTTCTGAAAATTGTTATAATGCGGGGTTGTAATTGAAAAAGGGGACGTGTGTTTGTTTGAACATATAAAATATGTTTTAAGAAGTTGTGATTTTGTTCCTTTTTTAGTGTGAAATAAGGAAAATGTCGTCGTAGCTTATCAACTCCCTTCCTGCATCCCAGTTTCCGGCCAGCAAAATCTTAAACTCTTGTCGATGTTTAATGTGACCAAACCATTTAAGATGACCTCTCTAATCTGTCACTGGAGATGCACCAACCCTTTCACAGATATATTAGTTTCATTCTTTAGTTAAAATTGATAGGTTTCATACACACACACACACACACACACACACACACGTTTGTGTGTATGTGTGTGTGTTTGTGAATAATTATGTGTGTTTATGTATATGTATGTGTTTGTGATTATTTTATGTGTGTGTATGTGTTTCTCTCTCTCTCTCTCCACCTCCTCTACCCTCCCTCTCTCCCTCTTTTCTTGTTATCGCTCTATTTCTTGATTGTGATTCTCGTATAATCTCGGATTAATCCAAAACCCCATATCTTATATTTGAGCATTGCTCAAACTAAATTTGGTCCTCATTTGAACCTTATTTGAACAAAATTTTTTATTAGGAATTCATTTGAATGAAACAATATGGGATATATAATGACTTTGAACTTCAATTCAAACATCATCAAAGCCTTTTTTTTCTTAACTTATGATTATAAATCATGTTTCCACTCCCTTCTATTGTACTTAAGAGAATAGACTAAGTTGGAAATGATGGTGATGCATTACAATTTAAAAAACATAAGTATTATAAGTGACCTTATTGAATTACATGCTTACTGAAAGCTGCAAAATAAGAGTATTGAACTGAGAAGATCAAGCAAACCTCTATGACTAGTTGAGAAGATGCTTGGAAGAAAAAAGTTGTAAGTTGTAGTGCTGTTCAAATTTTCTCATTATAATAAAATTATTTTAATAAAAAGTTATTTTTATTTCAAATGATTTTTGGCCATAATTTCCAAAAATTATGGAGCATATTTGTAAAATAAAAGCAATATGAGGAATAGAAATCAAAGTTCCCTAATACAAAGAGTTTCATTTATAAAATTTTTTTTTTTTTTTTTTTTTTTTTTGCTTTGATACATATTTTTAAAGGTTTTAGCTATTTATAGAATTAATATTTTCATAATTTTCTTCATTAAATTTTCAAAAAAAAAAAATTATGACACATGCAAAGATAAAACTCCATTAAATTAATTTAAATAGTAACTTTATAAACAATATAGATTTTGATGTCATATGCATAAATCTTTTATTATTAAAAATAACAGTAATAATAATAATAATAATATTATTATTATTATTATTATTATTATTATTATTATTATTATTATTATTATTATTATTATTATTATTATTATTATTATTATTATTATTATTATTATTATTATTATATGTAATGAAATTTAGTCAAAATGTTTTAACTTGATTAGCTCATCCCACATTGAGATACAGCAATAATCTCAATGAAATAAAATTAATTTCATGTTTCACATAAATAATATATTCTTAAGCCTAACTCAATTGGGTAGAATAACAATAGTTTAAAAAAAAGTTGTTGTTGCTCATGGCCAGCTCAAACATCATATAGATTTACAAAAATATAAACAAGGGCTTTTAGCAAGATAGTATTCAGCAGCTAGCTAGTTAAAGCCTTAATTATAATTGATGCGTGCTAGAAAATTCACAGTGGTAAAGTAATGGATTATTGTCTTGGCGTTGCGGGGAGCGTTGTGCCGAAGCATTAACTCATCTCTGCCTTGTGTAGCAAGTGAGTAACGGGATCTTTTATTATATTGCGAAAATGGTGATAATGGGAGAACCTCGTTCTGCTGCGAATCAAAGAAAAAGTCAGAACTTGGTGAATGTGATGTCAGTTCTGATGGAGAGCGGCTTGATCATATTTTGAAAGAGGTATTACTTATCGAATGATATGGTGGTGGAATTGACTACTTCAACAGATGAATGTATTCTCCTCCTTTTGGAGATGTTGTCATTTATGAGGCAGCCTTGAGAGCTGGCTTACGATTTCCAACGGCACCTGAGTTCATCGAAATTGTGAAGGCGTTCGGATTTTGTGTTGCTCGACTATCTTATGGGGTGGTGACAGTTATTATAGGATTAACTGTTTTCTTCATAAGTCACGGGTTGAAGTTAATGTCGGCAATTTTATCGCAGTTGTGAGGATTATTTAGTGACTCACATGATCGTATGATATTTAAGCAGGAGTTGGATTTTTTCTTAAAGGAACCGATAAGACAATGGTCCGTGAGATTTTTCTTTGCAAAGAACGATTGGCGGCTTCGTGAGAGGCAAGGAAGGTTCCAACAGTTGTCTGTCCCTCTTCAAACTACTGAGGAAGGAATATTGCAGATGCTAGGATTTCACGACGCAATATAATTACAAATTTGTGGACGAAGAATCATTGTTCAAGGTCAAGCTTTCATTCCACCCCGAGTGATCCACAGTTGTAGTATTAAAAAAAGCTAAGAAGGAACCTTTCGAGCCATCCCTATAGCTTCCTCAAAGCGACTCCCAACAAACAGTGACTCTGAAGTACTACCTCGGAAAAATTAAAAAAAGGTTAAAACATTGCAGAAGCTTTTGTTCAGTCCTTTGACCGTTCATATTCTTGAGAATATCTTGTCTCATGAATCTACTGGGCTCTTGGAGGTCGAGTGCTTTGTAGGTTTCTTTTATCTTCGACTACTATATACTCATTTTATATATCTAACTTTTTTTTTCTAGGTGGATGACATGGTGGAAATTCAAAAGGGGCTAAGACTGACACTGGAAAACTAGAACTCCAAGTTTGTTAAGATCAAATATTTCTAAAGCGAGTACAAATGCCGATATGAATCTGTGGTTGAAAAAAACACAACTCCGGAATCACAGTTGACAGAGTGCAAAATAGAGCTATCAACAATGGCAATTTCCCTCTCATTGCAGCTTCAGGATCTTAAGAGAACTCGAGAGTGGTTAGTGGAAGCTTGAGTCGACCTTAGTGAAAGTAATAAGCATGTGAAAGCCCTTGAGTTGACGGTGTCAGCCCAGAAGGAAGAGATCCAACTTTTGAAGTCTATGAAGGATGTTAATGTTGCATAAGTTAGGCGCAAAGCAGTTGAGGACTTCAAAAACTAGCTTGAATTCAAGACTATCGTTTGAGATCATGTTTAAGAAGCTTGTGATCGTATACTTGATGTTGAAGGAAAGGAGCAGCAAAAGTGGTCCACGGAAGCACTTGAGTATGGACCTAAAAATGCTTTTTTTATATAGTTCATTCCCAATAAGGATGAAGTTGGCAGTCATGTGCCAGAGGTGAATTTATGCAGTAGTATCATCGAGCAGTGTTCCGTCTCGGAGGAAGGAGATGATGGGATCCATCCATGATGGCTCCCCTGGGTCATCTATAGATAATATCACCCATGGGCCCTAGATGCTAGGAAAATGTATTTCTTCGATGAACCTTCCTTTATAAAGATCTCCAGTTGTCAAAGTTGTGAGCTTGGAGAGGGCATCAACTCGGGTGTTATGCTCCTAAAGTATGTGAATGAGGTGACATGTTTCAATTTGAGTGAGATGTGTTTTTTACTAAACTGAGATATTGCACTAGTTGTGAGTTATGAGTGTTGAATTCGAATTCTCCCTTCTACTTAGGATGCAATGAGTTGAGAATCAGTGTAGATAATCATGTTTTGTACTTCACAATCGATGGAGAGTTTTAATCTGGTGACGAGGGCTTCATATTCGGCAACATTTCTGGTGGCTGGAAATTTTAAGCTAAGCTTGTATTCCAAGATGTCTTGCTTTGGGGAGAAGAATATTATTCTTGCACCAGTTTAGTGTTTTTTGATGCTCCCTCCACATACAGTGTCCATTGAATAGATTGTGGACGAGAAAAAGGCAGCTCGTCAAAAGCAAGCACAGTACATTCTACCATAAAGTCGGTCAATACTTGTGATTTGATGCTTGGTCTTGGTAGATAATGAATATCAAATTCTCCCAATTCTACTTACCATTTAACTGAACTTCCTGGTGTTTCTGGTTTTTGTAGGATAGCCTTCCAAGGGAGTTGTGTGTAGACGCAGATACTGTGAACTTGGAAGTACGAACGAAGTCTCCTTGTTGTGAAACTTTGATAAGTTGCACCAGCATTTTTTAACCCAAACGACATAACTTGACAATAGTATAAGCTCTTATTTGTTTGAAAAGAGGTGGCTTTCTCGTGTATTAGGTTCATCTTTATTTGATTTTACCCTAAGTATGCATCCATAAAGCTGAGCATCTGATGTTTGGACGTGGCATCGATGAGTTGATTTGTGCGCAGGAGGGGAAAGCTATCCTTCGAACTAGCTTTATT